CAGAAATATCTTGCAACATAATGCTCAATGTAGAAAATCAAAGATTATATAAAATTACATAGAAATACAAATTTAGAGGTACCACCTTTGTACTGCTAAACCTAATGTAAATAGCCTAAAGGTTGGTGAAAACTTATGAAGTTTGAAATCTAGAAATATGTGCACATGTTATAAATCTGAACGGAGAAGTAACCTAAGAGCTATAGTTAAGTTATGAATATGAGGGGAAGAATGTGCATAAAAACAAACCACATAAAATAAGTCTAATTTGGACATCTCACCATTTTATGGCATGCTCCTGCAGCTCGACTGATCTGTTCAAATGTTTCTGTAGGCATCCCAGTCAAACGTGCAAGCTCTGTTTCATTTGGACTAAAAATATCCACCAGGCTCAGTAGTTCCCCAGGGACAGGAGCATCCATTCCACCGGCGTCCAAGATAACAGGCACACCTGCACCTTTTGCTGCCTGAAAACAAAAATTCAGCTTATTACAAAACAGCTTTACTACGCTTGGATATGTAAATACACAAGGTGGTTACAGCATTCCCAACTATCTACTATGAATGCTCAGATTTCTTAAGTATATGATAGTGCAATCTATGAAAGATGAAAATTACGAATAAGATTGGATTTATCATTCTGATAATACATTGAAATCGATTGCGGAGTAACATAAACACGAAAGTAGCACTGTGCAGCCAACAAGATCATTTGGTCCAAGTGGAGTCCCTAAGATACTAATCTTCACAAGTTCTTCAGAAAGGACTGAAGCACGTGATGCTGTGCTTAACTAGATCAGTCTAACATTTGCCCACATAACTGCATGGAGGCATGCTTGAGATACCATAAGAATTTAAAAATAAAATGAATCACCCTTCTTTCTGCATCGTTGGATCTTCAGGAATCATTAACTCTTTACTCCCACAAATCAGTCACACAGACAAATATATATGATTCCTTTCAGAGTTCAGACATATGTTGAAGCAACTCAGCAATCATGATAGCGCTGCTTTATTTTTCTTAAATGCATTGAAGTCACAACATATAAATTCTCAAGTCACAACATATGACTCTACTTTCATTTGCACTCAAACAATACTAGACATCACAGAATCACCAATAGGGGAAAACAAAGGTAACTGCAAACCTAATCTTTATGAGCAAATACATTACAGAAGAAAGCAGAAACTGGATGTTGTAAAAGTATGCTGTCCTCACATGAGAACAAGCTCTCCCTGTACAAAATCCACATGTTTTGTCCTAACCCTCATTGGTTGGTTTGTTATGCTTCTATGGAGCTTAGTGAAACAGATAGGATAATTGCAAAGCACCTTACCACAAGCTAACAGCATTATATATATCAAAATCAGAGTGTTGAATGGCCTAGGTTTCAAGTGCAAGTCCATTAAACACTCATACGCAACAGACTGTAAATTCCAGCCAAATGAAGATGCCATTAGTCTAGACATGTTCCCTGTTTTGTTCAAACTGATGTTGATGATAGAGGAGACTGTGTGAATGCTGTTGGGATAATACCATGCATACAGGTTAGGAAAAAAAAAACATAGCTTCTCTAACATGCCGTGTGGCCAGATATATCCTATCTTACACAGTGTACAAAATAGTGTGCATAAAATTATTTTGCTCAGATCATTTGATATCATGAGGAAAGAATACCAAATCCAAAGTTGGTTCTTCCCACCAAAACTTATGCTCCCTCCGTCCCAGAATATAAGAAGTTTTAGAGTTGGACATGGTTATTAAGAAAGTAGGTAGAAGTGAATGATGGAGGGTTGTGATTGGATGAGTAGTGAAGGTAGGTAGGAAAAGTGAATGGTGGAGGGTTATGATTGGTTAGGAAGAGAATGTTTGTGGAGAGGTTGTTATATTTTAGGACAAATCCTGATGGCTAAAAGTTGTTATATTTTGGGACGGAGGGAGTAACATAGACTTAAGCTTTAGTAGTGCATTAAGCAATAATAAGCATAAAACACAAATTCACTAAGAACAAGATAAGCATTGAACAGACAGCACATCAAAATTTGGAATACTTTTGTCAACAACAAAAAAAACATGCATCTTCCGCTTAGAAAATTCTAATCTATGCTCAATATGTCTAATCAACTATCCAGTTTCCTACCAACGACCAGATCAAAATCATAATCTGGAGTAGCCATCACACAGATATATGTAGATCAAACTAAATGAACAGAGCTAAGTTCAGCTAACAGATAAAAGCCAATCCACACTGTGTTTTTGCTGCAATATGACCTAGAAGGCTTGAACTAATCTGCACTAATGCAATAAGCTCATCATACCACACAATTTCGGTTAACTGTAGGCCACATTTTCTCACTTCGTTTTGGTCAAAGGCACGGCCAAGCTAGAAGCCATTAGCAAATTTATTAAGGAACATATCTAGCTACGAAACACTATCAAATTCAATCCAATTTGACGACCACTTAACAAAGTGCGTAAATGAGAAAAACTTGTTCAAATCTAAAGAGAGAATTAGAGCAACCACCTGCGCAACCTGCACGTTGACCCAATCGGGTATCTCCCGCTGCAGCAGCAGCACGCCAGCCCGGCGGATCAGGTCCAGGTCGTCCGAGCCGACCCCCGAGGCCCACCCCTCCATGTTGGCGCCGCCGACGATGATGATGGAGTTCTGCCCGCCGGGCATCAGCATCACCACGGCGTGGCCCGAGGGCGCGCCGGGCGCGCGCGCGACGCGGTCTAGGCGGACGCCGCCGGCGTCCGCGAGGGCGCCCTCGAGGAGCCGCCCGTTGGCGTCGTCCCCGACGCGCGCCACGAGGTAGGTGGGCCCCGCCGCGAGGCGGCCCCCGCAGGCGGCCTGGTTGGCGCCCTTCCCGCCCGCGAGGCTGCGGCCGGCGCGCGCCGCCACCGTCTCCCCGACGAGCGGGAGGCGGTCGACCTCGACGTAGATGTCGGCGTTGGCGGAGCCCACGACGACGATGGGCGGCGCCGCCGCCGCCGGGGCACTGGCGGAGGATGACAGGGAGGCGGAGGGCGGCCTGAGGGCGAACGAGAGGCTGCCCGGCTTGGGGGTGGATCCCGGGAAGGAGGTCGTCGCCGGCGATAGTCCGGCGAGAGGGAGGCGGAGGCGAGCGTCGAGAGTAGGCATGGCTGATCGATGAGAGAGAAAGCGACGGTGTCAGCGAAGGTCACGGGGTGGACTAAAGCTCAAGTCTCGGATGACGATGATGATTTGGCTAATTTGGTTTTGGATCAGAGCTCAAATCCCCTCCCTGATCTGCTGGAAATTCCGAATTTCCAACAGATTTGGTTCGAGACTTTGGCTCTATCGGCCTAATTAACATATCCTATACACAACTACTCCATCCGTCCAATATAAACATTTTGGGGCAATTGCAAATTTACCACTACTTTGAATCGTTATTGCAAAACTGCCACTAGAAAATTGCAAAAATGCCACTAGAACTGTCATTCGAGTGGTATCCTTGCAATATTCAAAAAACCGGTGGCAAATTTGCAAATGCCCCAAACATTTTTAAGAGCTGAACACGATTATTAAAAAAACATGTAGAAGAAGTTAAAAAAAACAAAAACAGGTAAAAGTGAATGGTGAAGAGTTGTGATTGGTTGAGTAATGGAGATAGATTGGAAAAGTAAATGGTGGATGATTGTTATTGGTTGGGAAAAGAATATTGGGGGAGAAGTTATATTTTGGGACGGAGGGAGTAGTAAGTATCCTAAAAGAATTATATAAAAAAAAGTTGAACACATAGCTCTAATAATATTACACATATATATAAGATTTTATCTTCAAATTTATAATATTTTAGCTCACAAGACTAAATTTGAATAAAATTTTACTCTTAAAACTGTTATTTTTTTATTTTATTATGGCTAAAGTATAATAAATTTGAATATGAAAATTTTATAGATATGTGTGATAGTTAAGAGTACGAGTAAAAATTTTCAATTATCACATCTCTAGATTGCACAAACGCTGTTAAAACCAGGAACGGTAATTTTCCTCGTAACAAAGGCCTGACGAAGTTGACCTGGGAGCCTGGCCCACACACGCAACGTTTCGGCCCGTAGCAACTATAGGCTGGAACTGGATCGCAACTAAGAAAAAAGTACACCGAAGGTCCCTAAACTTGTCATCGAGTTACAAAATCATCCCCCAACCATAAAACCAGATACCGGACGTCCCTCATCTAAACAAACCAGATACCGGAACCAGATATATCTGGTTTTTTTAGTTGGGGGATAATTTTGTAGCTCGATGACAAGTTGATTTGGTGTACTTTTTCCTCGCAACTAAATAGGCCTGAACGGGATCACGGCACCCGTGCGGCCTTCGGTAACTGGGCCGGAGCGGTATTAGCGACCAACGTGAGGCCCACTGTATAATTGGGCGTGATTCCGTCGAGTCGCGCGGGCCGTCTTATATTTGGGCCGGATCGTGCATGCGTGTCAGGGTAAACTATACCACACACGAATACACACGATCTAGTGAAGTGGAGCCGTAGCTGCAGTACACAGTAATTACACACAGATTAAGGTGAAGTTCACACAGATTACAGTATAATAATACTCCTTTAAACATGCAGCGAAATTACTTTTACTTTTCTTATTCGAAAAAAGAAATTACTTCTACTACTTTGCTACAGATACAGAAGAAGCGTAACCACGTTTCCCTTTCTCCGTCCCTCTCCGGTGACGTGATGGGCTCGTGGACCGATGACTCAGACCACGGTCGCCCATAACATCAACGGCCGAGATGCCACCCCCATCACCACAAACCTCTCATCCGGACCGTCCATCCACACACCCCGCTTGCTAACCAACCGTGACACGCAACCTCCCCCCTCCGTCTCCCCGCCAAAATGACATCCCTGCCCCTCACAACCCCCGCGTCGAAGGCGGTTTTTCCCGTGGAGTGACGGAAATACCCCTACCCCCCTCCCTCTAATGCTTCTCTCTCTCTCTCTTCTCCTCTCCCCTCTACTCTCTTTCTCTCTCTCTCTCTCCCCCCTTCTCCGTCTGCGTTGTGCTGCGCGAGCCCCCGGAGGCGAGGCGACTCCGCGTCGCCTTCCCCCCCGAGCGCGCGGCCGGCGAGAAGGGCGGGAGGCGCGGGCGGCGAGGTGCTCCTCTTCTCTCTCTGTGTCTCTCGTCGGCGACCTCGCGCGGTAGCCTCCTCTCCGGTGGTGGTCGCGCGCGCGCGGACGGTCGACGAGGGAGGTTTGGAGGGTGGGGGCGCGACTCGGGGTTGAATTCGCTCGAGCTGACTCACTCCAGGTAAGAATTGAACAGCGATTCGTGTTTCCGAGCAGAATTGAGTGAATTGGTTGGAGCGGTTCCGCTGATTTACGGCGGTGATCTGGGTGCTCTCTGTTCGTGATTTCGGGGTTTGTTTGATGAGATTTCAGCGTTTTTCTTTTTCTAATTAGGAGATGTTAGTTTGGTAGGGAGGTTGCGGTAATTCGTTGAGATGGCTGCCACGTTGTGAATTTTCCTTTCTAGGGTTTGGGTCTTCGCGTTGGTCCTACCGTGATCCCACCTGGTTGTCCCTCAATTTCGTTGCTTCCTTGGCTCTACTGACGCTTTATTACTGCCGATCTAGCCGTAGAAAATTATCTTTCTGCAATAGTACCGTAGCTGTACAAATGATCTCGTCTAAAGCTTCTGCTCTACTTCATTTTCTATATGCAGCATGTTTGCTAATCTTTTTATGTTGCAAGTACAAATCTGTTGATTAAGGCATGATTAGTAGGTTAATACGTCTACTGCTATGCGATTACTTGCGTAACTGAAGAAAGGAATTAATTTAACCATTTTAACGGTTGCACCTCCTTTGCTGTTAAAAGAACTAAAGGAGTCTGCTTTTGAGGAAGCAACTGAGTGCTTGTAGAAGGCGTGATTGAATAGTAAAAACTGTCTTAAGAAAGCTAGATCTTTTCTCAACGGCAGGCTTTTCTTGTTATAGGTTGTACTAAATGTTTACGTTCCTTCATGAGTTCATTTTAAGGCTGTGTCTATCGACCATATATATTGAGATCTCATATATATTTCTAAGGTGTATTCTCCAACTTTTGTATTTGTTCTGCAGAGGGTTTTATAGTTTCAAGCACAACGCTGCTCAAGATGCCAGCACTGAGGATGAAGAGGAACTTTGACGATGATGTTTTTAGGGATGAGTTTGATTCCAAACCCACAAAATCTATGAAGATCTCACATTTTCAAGTCAGCGAACTAGAGCAGTCAGCTGTGTTGAACTTGCCTTATAAAGATCCCCACGATGGTAAGTGACTGCAGGCAGCTCTGTGGGAGTTAAGGCTGATTTTTTACTGATGTGGAGTTTCTTTCAACTTTCCCTTAAAATATATGTAATTTAGCTGTACTGTTTATTACAGTTCTCTTGAACAGGAACTGTGTGTGCCTAATGTTGCATTCGGAAGCTATTTTTTATAGGTAGATAATTTAACAACTCATGTTTGTTAAGTTGGTTTTACTTAGCTATTTGGAAAATGTGTTTAAATTGTGCATTGTTAGTGATCAAAGGTTAGTGAGGGTGTGCATATTTCATTGATTCTATTTCCTTTTTCAGAGCTGGATTTGACAACTCAGTTAGCTGGCCAGGACATTATGATCATGGAAGCTGCTAGTTTGGATGATGCTCTTGGAGGAGCATCTTTGCTCAAGGTGTGGCATCATCATCTGATCATATATTATTATAATTATTATTGTCGCACTTTACTTTTGTGTTCAACCGTTTGGCTTCAATACTTCCATTTCATTATTATAAGTTTCCTCTTGTACTTCAGTTTGTCTCTCCAAACTAATTAGTCCAATGAACTTCTGATTACAAATGAGTAACCACTAACTTCTGAGTTCTGATTATGGAGATATAACTATTGCAATTTCTTTCCAAAGTTCATTGCACTAATCAGTTTGGGGAGACAAACTGAAATGCAAGAGGAAACTTATTATAATTAAATGGAAGTATTGAAGCCAAGAGGAAACTGATTTGTCATTTGACCTTGCACTTCCAACTAGTTTCAGTTAATGATTTGTTATAAAGGGCAGAAGGCATTGTGTTTGTTTCTTATTTGTGTTATGAACTAACATTTGTAGGCTAGGTATATAGCTTCATTATTTTGGTGTCTTCTCTCCTATTTTATGTCTCAGCACTCTATATCAGAATCATTATTATTCTGTTATTTTATAGAATCTTCTGCAATGTAATGTTTCCATGTTGATTTACAGGATTTAATATCTGAGGTGGCAGTTTCACCAAATATGGAGAATGATATGTTAGTTAATTATGAAGACATCAGATCTCAGTTAAATGTAGTAAATTATTTTGACAAAGGTAAGGAGCAACCCTTTCACCTTAAGTGACTTAGGATATATATCCATTAAGCGAAGTAGCAAGATTAATTTTGCTATGCGCTAGGTATTTACACTTCCATGTGCGCTTTGCATTTTCATATTGCAATTAGCAAAGCATTTACAATGTGATGCCATAGATTCTAAGTTATCTGAAAACCAATCTTACCAAGAATAGAATTAAAAACAAGATTTCTTTGCTAGTAATGACTGGAATATTCCTTTGTTACTTTTAAATTATATTGGACTTTTTGGTCATCAGTCTTTATTTAATGCATGATTCTGATCATTCTTTGTGTATACACTTTTGAAAATGTGTAAAAATATGTATGCTACATTAGCATCTGGTGTTGCAAATTTAATATGATTATTTCTGTGCGGTCAAGCTATACAGTATACACTGAATTGCTGATAGGGAATTGTATATAAATGATCCAAATTTCAGAAGTTCTACTGCAAGAATGCCACATTAATCTATTTATGTCCACAAACTGGACACTGTTTTTGTCTTTGTGCCAACTTATCACAAATTCTGATTTTGCTTGGCTGGAGGATTTCTGATCTTTTAATTTCATTGCATCTCTTGCTCCAAAAACGATGTGCCACATATGTAGTTTTTAGCTGAGATAGCAATGCAATCATTTCAATTCCCCCTAGTTCGAAAACCTTTTTGTCATAATGCCATGTCAGTCTCTCAACATTATATCGTTGAACAAACCTAGGATGTTTGCTTAAATTGATAACTTGAGATGAGCTTTTGCTGTACATGCTATCTTTGGCCTCTGTATAAAATCATGATATGCAATATATACTTGTCCATTCTATTGTGGAAAGAGAAAGGTGTGCGCTGGCGCTATATGCAAATGATCATACCAGAAATTCATGGTGACTGATTGTCTAGGCATTTTGATTGGTATTGAATCTGAATAATATGTGATAGTGGCAAATCCATCAAATATATCACCAGATTAAACCCACAAGATTATCATTTTTTTTGTGATAGTGGCAAATCTATTAAATATATCATGAACTGCTTCTCTTGAAAGTTGTCCATTCATCTACCTATTGCCAACGGACGAATTGCTAATTCTTGCAGTTGTGGGGCAGTAACTGATAAGCATGATTTGAATTGTGTTCCTTATTTTGTAATAGCTCCTTGAGGAGAAAATGTAGAAATATTTATTTGGGACATGCTTATGTTGAACATTTAGTTATTACTACTCAAAAGCAAGTTTCAGTTTGTAAATGTGCGTACTTATTTATAATTATGCATGGTATTTTTTGCAGATGAAGATGCAAATTCTGCATCATATAATAGCTGTACCGTTAATTGTCATGAAGAAAGCTGGGGCTCGAATGAGGGTTGCAGTCTGTTGGACATTTATAATCCTGATGATGCTTTCTCTTTCCTATTGGATACGCCCTCTGAGTTTCTGGGTAGTTTTACTGCATTATATGATGAAGTTGTACCAATTGATTCATTGGTGAATATAAGTGGCCGATGTGGAGTATTCCCACTTACTGAGAGCACTACAGAAGCCAGTATTGGTAATGAGCCATGCAGATCTGAGGGGGATATGCTATTTAGTAACTCAGAGGTGTTAGAGTGGCTCAATCCACATCTGGCTGAGGAGGATTTGCCTAATCTCGTTGATTTTACTGAGCTGAACTCACATGCTGTATCAAAGGAGCAAGGGGCCAGGAAGGTCACTCTTGTACTTGATTTGGACGGTATGTTGCTGGTTTTAAAAGATTTATTATTTTTTAGGACTCTATTGATGTTTCCCAGAGAATAATATATTGTTATTTTTCCTTCCTGTGCAGAAACCCTTGTTCATTCGACCACAGAGCAGTGTGATGACTATGACTTTACCTTTCCAGTGTTCTTTGATATGAAGGAGCATATGGTTTATGTGAGGAAGAGACCACATCTCCACATGTTCCTCCAAAAAATGGCTGAGATGTTTGAGGTTGTTATATTCACAGCCAGCCAAAGTGTTTATGCAGATCAGCTGCTTGACATCTTGGATCCAGAGAAAAAACTGTTCTCTAGGCGTTATTTCCGGGAGTCATGTGTATTTACAAACACTAGCTACACGAAGGATCTGACAGTTGTTGGAGTTGACCTTGCTAAAGTTGTCATAATTGACAACACTCCGCAGGTAAACTGCTGATAACTTGTTCTGCGCTAATGCACTTCGTGTTCTAAATGTTGTCACTTATGTTTTTAAGAAGGTTCAGTGTTAAAGTGTCCTGGACCTACATCTCTGAATTTTTGAAATCTCCCATTCATCAACTATCGCATGAAGTATCCGATGAGCACCTGAATACTAATTTCCATGTTTCATTCAGGTTTTCCAGTTGCAAGTGAATAATGGTATACCCATAGAGAGTTGGTTTAGCGACGACTCTGATGAGGCATTACCTCAGCTGATTCCGTTCCTGGAGACCCTTGCTTCTGCGGATGATGTCCGACCCATAATTGCCAAGAAGTTTGGCGACAAAAAGGATATTGCTGAGATTTTCCAATAAATGTTAGGGATAGCTTTTTGTTTACTCAGATAGAGGAACAGAAACTTAATTAACATGTTAACCGGGCTTGTTGACCTTTTTCTTTTCCTTTTTTACAGTGGGTGGTTTTCATAGGATTAAGAATTTTGGTGTTAGAGCTAGTTGTGAATTGTACATATCCTCGTATTTCTTAAACAGTTCTGTACATAGTATGCTGCCGGAAATGAAAGTGAACTTCACAAATTTTGTTCTCTGTTTCCTTCCTGTTAAGTGTCCCGTACATTTGATGTTGCCGTTCGATCAGACTGTTGGGACTGTCCAGGACGGATTCTTGCATCTCTTTTTCCCACTGTCAGATTCTCAATTGGCAACTAATTAATTTAGTCGCAATTGCGTTGTGCAAACTTATGTTTACATGTTTTTTTCTCTCGAGATCGTTGAAACATCGCTGCATTTGAAGTAATACTCACCACGTCCAAATATAATTTGCTCGTCGATGTATTAAATTTCGTAGCATTTGAAGCACGATACCACCTAATTCATGTTTGAACTCTGGTCTACAGGTACTGCTCATGCTGTAAGCCTGTAACCGTTAACCAAATACATCTCAGTAGTTAGTGGTGCGGTCAGTTCTGACAATCCTAAAACACAAGTAACATCAATTCACTATCATTTCCCATCACTCTAAGAGAAGCAAACAGTTCATTAACATTTACTATAGTCCTCAGATTTTTTTTTTTTTGTTCTTTTTTATGTTACACCAAAATGTACTCCTGTTCTACAAGGGAATTGTCTCGCAAGCATTTGTGCTCAGACGCCCAGTGATACAAAAAGAAAACACACACCACCACATGTCCACATGTGGAACAAAAGAAATGGCTGTCTCTGGCAGTAATATATAGAATCAAGTTATTGTATATACATAAGCTCGCTATTTTTATTCCCATAAGTTCTCTTTCATTCAAAGTAGATCACTCGCTCATCTTTTTCCCTTTTCTCCCATTTCTTTTTCTTCTTAGCAGCAAATAACTGACGGCACGGCAATATGGCATGCCTTTCTTGGCAGGCTAGATCAATGGCTAGCAAGATGTTTGTCTTTTCCACATTCTGTAATTTCATTTTCACCGCCTCGACGCTTCCTCGATCAGATTGTTGGTCCTGTATTCTTTGTCTGAATCTTTGGCTGATAAGGCACTTGGGTACTTGGATTCTTTCATGTTATTAATCAGCTCAGCGGAGCATTTTTGAAGTGGCCATTGCACCCTAATACATCCTCGAGACCCCATACTGAACAGTACTGACTTTATTGTAGTTACCTCCAACTGCAGCAATGCCATTAAAAGGGCCAATTCCCTGCATCATGTTGGATTGTAAGGCAGCTCTGTCTGCTACATCAGATTTCGCCTTTGAAACGTAGTAAGAGGAAGCTCTCAAATCATGGGACATATGTGACACCACCTTAGCATCCATGAAATGCTCTGATGGCTGGTACCGCATGCGATCTTTCTCAAGCTCCTGCTGGAGCTCTCTTTCTGAGCTATCCGATTTACGGTGGTAGGCATATGCTGATAGGTTGGTGGTGGCTGGAGGAAGCACTGGATTCCTTACCACCCTTCGTTGATTGTATGGGCCCATTGCACTCAAATTCTCAAATGGTATTACAGGGCAAGCCCCTCGTCCTGTTCTACCTGAGAAATTATCAGAAGAAAATATATCAGATGGAATCCTCTGAAGAAATGAGCTTGATAAATTTATTTAGGAGAAACTATTACCTGGAATCCTTTGGGGTACTTGGGAAGTTATATTTTGATGATCTTTGGGAGGAATTGGAGCAGAATGAACTGTAGTAGTCCTGCAAATTAGAAATTAAAGGTCAGCACCAATATTCCAACGGTGGTCTCTGTTATTGATATCACCTCAAATCACCCACTTTCTGATGTGTACAGAGGTTTTATAGTACCATAAAATCATGAAACAAAGTTTTATAATGATGCAAGTACGATCTATCTGTTTGATTTGATGCAATTTTCTTAACAGAAGCAAACTTGGCATCATAATCAACAAAAATATACTTTCAATGGGAAGAAAACCATTGATGGTTAAAACGGTTTTAGCCACCTTGGGAGCGAAACATGTTTCCTGTCTGATGGAACAGCATCTCCATTCTTCCCTCCATTTTCTTCCAGGTTAGCAAATTGTCTCCGAAAGTTGTCAAGGGCACTGTGTAATAACAATTAGGTGCAACCGAAAATGTATTAGTTATAACCAATGGGGTGCAGAAGATGGGAATAAACAAAAAGAAAGGAGGTGGGGAGCATGACTGATGGAAGAGAATCCATGGGACGAACCTAGGATATAGGAAGTTTGTTTTTTCGGTTCCATTCATGTAATCCTTAAGAAGTTGAGGATGATACTCCAGTATTTCACGGAATATAAGTTCCTTCACATCCTCTTTAGTCACCTTTCTCCGCTCAAACTCAAACTCCATCTTTGTTATTGGCTGGCATGATGGTTCTCTCTCTGCTTTCGCAAGGCCTTTAAAATATGGATCAGCCAACGCCTGATATGTAAATCAATGAAAATGAATATCATTAGAATGATTTCAGCACCAAATGACACCAGGTGCAGCCATCACATGGAAGTACAAACTACAGAAGTTTTAATTCGACATTCATTAATAAAAACTAACCTCTTCGGCAGTTGGTCTATCCTTCGGGTCGAATGCTAAAAGCCTCTGCAGAAGTTTGAGTGCAGCAGGATCTGCTTTTGGGAATCTCTCAGAAAAAGGTACTGGCTGCTTTTTCCTCATACTGCTCAAGTACCTCCTTGCTTTCTCATTCCGAATCTGCAGTTACAACATGATACCTGGCATTTATTATGGATAGTTCACTTTGGAGCATTAGTCATTGATGAAAGGCAAAGCATACCCTTGTAACAGTATCCATTGATGGAGTACCCAAGAGATCAGTCATCAGATCCAACTGGTGAACCACATTTTTACCAGGAAACAAAGGCTTCCCAGTTAAAATCTCAGCAAAAATGCAGCCAATACTCCATATGTCAATAGCTGGTGAATACTGCACAGTACAATCGATTTAGCATCCATTGAAATTTACAGAGGAGCAGATATTAGTTGAACAGTTGGCGTAAAAGTGAAGAAAATATCAGCTAACTACATTAATCCTATCACTTCGCCTAGATGTCAAACAGACGAATAAACTCTCAGGTTACTGTAAATGCTGTACTTTTCAAACCTAACCAAATAATACTAATAAAACTATCTATGATGATCAATGAAGGCAATACCTACTAAAAAGGTAGCAAATGCCGCCTATGAATGCAGCTTCTGAACAAGACAATTTGGAAGGAATGATCCCTGTTATACCAGCTGGTAAAAAGCCAAATCGGAATCAAAGGGGATGAATGGCCTGATGTAAAATCACATATAGCTATGGGGGTACTTGTGCATAAAAAGGGTTATGTACAACAGGATAAATTTAACACATAGACATTAATTTTTCAGGAAAATAAAAAATGACCGCATATGAAGTTTCTAAACAGTAACATGTGCATATCTGTAGGGAGCTTGGAATCAAGTCACCCGATTAATCAAGATAAAGTAAAATTGAGCCAGACATCATAAAACAGAATATAGTCACACGATCGTTGTCAAAGATCCAAATGAAGGCTTGGAGGAATGGGAAAGAGGCCACAAAATGTGAAGTATGATTTATGACGATATGTAACACTAGTTAATTCGAATTGTGATTGCTAAATATTAGGAAGTCCACTTAGCATCAACAGTAGTTGCTATGACTGACATAAATGGCTGCATATCAAGGAAGGGCCACAGATTGACAAGTGACAACTATTGTATACCAGCATGTTGGCATACCACCAGTATAGTGTGTGTGGCCATGAATACTAGGCTCTAGAATAGCTGCCATTATCATTCTATTGGCATAACACTCAATGTATTACACTAGTTAAATTGAAATATTATGTCTTTATGATATAAAAATATTACATTTCTCTATGATAAAATGTGTACAGTCAGAAGAGCATGCAGAAAACCATAGCAAAATCATGTATAGGGATGTGACAATGAATTTTAACAGAAAATATAATTCAGCAATATACCATCAAGTAGACCAAGCAAATCATGTTATAGGGCTTCTGGGGAAGTAGCCCAAGCAAATATTCCAACAAACAACACATGAGAACTGCAGATTAATTACCTTAGTAAAGAAAGAACCACACAACTCAGGAGCCCTATACCATCTAGTAGCAACATAATCCTGCAAAAAACAAAGAAAGAAAATTATGAAATAGAAAATAAAACTTACGTAGCAAAACTATGCATGTACTATTGCAGATAATGCAATATATGAATGTACAATGTCACACACCGTCCAGAATACCGTTGTAGGAGTGTCATTAAATGCCACTCGTGCTAGACCGAAATCGCATATTTTGAGTTTACAGTTAGCGTTTGCCAATATGTTCTTTGGCTTCAAATCACGATGATAGACATTAGCTGCAGTACATAAACTGATGGTTAGGATAAGCAATACATGTAAACCAAGTGCATCTCCCCATTCTGAAAGATCTAAATGAGCATGCAGTTTAAAACTCGACGAGAAGGATTTTCAGTGGTGATAATGTTAATGGCTTAACAGTGAATAGCAGAAAACAGTAATGATGACATGTTGTACAATTAGTCAATTTCTAGATAGACAAAGAAAGTGCAAGTATAGTATCTAGTAATCAATAAAAGATGCAAAATAGTGGGAAATACTTTAAAGAAATAAGAGGATGGCAACAAACAGAATCTCCACAGGGCAAAAATAATGTAATGAACAGAATAAGCAACTAAAGGCAAATGATGTGGGAATGACAATTTCCTTTATTTATAGTGGACTTATTTATTGGGCTAGCACTGTGCCAAATTCATGTGCGAGCACACTACAAGATCGTTTATGCTCTTCATGAAGCATAACAAAGAACCCAAAAAAATGTGAATAAACTTTACCCAACATTTCAGAGAATAAATTATCCCTCAACACTAAACAAATATTACAGTCATCAATAAACGCTGTGCTAGCTCAGACCTCAGTTTCTAAAAGGAAGCATACCAGTATGAATATATTTCAAAGCACGAAGCATCTGATAAAGAAAGAACTGATGATGTTCTTTGGTTAAGTCATCATTTGCCTTGATGACTTGGTGGAGATCGGTATCCATCAGCTCAAAGACAACATATATGTCCTTGAAGTCCCTCCTTGATGGAGGTAGCATTATATGCTTGATCTCAACTATATCAGGATGCCGTAATAGCCGGAGCAATTTGATCTCACGGAGGATTCGGGCAGCATCAGATAAGTGCTCAAAGATATTGTGTATTTTCTTGATTGCAACCTTGTCGCCAGTATGTTGGTCAATAGCTGAACAAACTACACCATAGCTTCCTTTGCCAATGACTTCCTGTATTTTGTATCTGTTAGCATCACCATATTCGCTGAAGAAATCCATCTCTGGCGAACCCTGAACATAAGTCAATAAATTGAGTTAACACTATGCTGGAGATAGCTTGTTTAAAAAAGAGGGAGTATATAATTCAAAGCTAATGTCTTTGAATGCATAGAAGAGTACTTGCTAACAGACCACTGAAACAGCAGATGGTTAATCTGCGTACAACAAATTCAGACAGATCCTAGTTCAACAAACTCAGATAGATCCTAGAACGAGCAACTGGACTCTAGTAGCTGATGTATCAGAAAAGACAGTAGCTACACCTGCCCTTCTGATGCAAAGACTCCTTAGTCTCCACTCTCCAGCAATGAGCAAAACGAAACAATCAAAGCCTAAGACCGAACAAGACTAAAAAAAAAGCCAAATAATGACTCTTAAGAAGTGCTCTTGGCCTCTGGGGCATAAAACCATCTCGATCAATATGCCTCCAAAGTGGGCATGGAATATATTGATTAGATAATCCACTGGGACAATTAAAATGATTGGCTATTCTTTTCTTGCAAGTAAAAAAAACCAGGAAGGTAAGAAAGACCGCAGAGCTGGCTTAGGATAAACATATCTACTCAGCGAATCTTATACCGCATTTGTGATGCTTCTAAGTAGCATCTGAATTAATCTTCTCTCCTTGGAGTGTTATCTCGGATTAGAAGTGGGGTGGGAAAATTCTCTGAATTGGAGTACTAGTTATTCATCAAGGCGCAATGAGTATTCGACTGACTCGGGAAAAGTTGTCAAAGGATGTCATTTCCTTTCGAGGGCACAAAAAGCAGACGTCGCCCAGCACCAGAAGGTTTCAGATATTATCAAGAAGGCATCCACGGTTAAATCGAATAGAGAACCTTCTGACAATTCGGATAATTTCCGATCCAGAGAAAGGCGAAGGGGAGGGGGGAAAAATCTCTTTTGCGAACAAATGGAACATGAGAATCGAGAACTACAGCGACTGCAGAGCTCAAAATCCACTGAAATTCACCACAATCCAACATACGGAGTCATCCGCAGATAAAAGTCGAGCAAAAAAGCGGAGGAAAACAACGGCAAGAACAAACCCTTACTACGCTCGTACGCATCCGAATCCGAAGCTCCACGAGAAAGAAAGGAAGGGAAACAAATCGTTCTTTTGCACAAAATCCCCCGACTCCATATAACTCAAGATCGTCTCGACCCGCGGGACGACCAAACCGATCTCCAAACGCCAACCACCCATGACCATGAGACCACCACCCTCCACCAAAAACCCAACCACCCCCGGCGAGAAACACCGCGCAACAAAAAATGAATTGCCACCTCCTCTCACCTTCCTCCGCTGCTGCTGCTGCTGCTCCGTCTGCATCGTCTGCATCGCCATCGCCGCCGCCGCCCCCTCACCTCTCCTCCACCGCCAGCGACGAATCCACCCGCATTTGCCTCGCCTCGCCGCGCCGCCGCATGCGACGCCCCGCCCGCGAGGTGCTAGGGCGAGCGAGCGAGCGAGCGAGAGGGAGAGATCGATCCCACGCACCCACACCCCCACACGCGCGGGGGGATCGAACCAGCGCAATCCCCGACCGGGACGCCCGCCCCGCCCCGCCCCGCTCCCACCTCCCCCCCTGCGACTGAGCAACTCGCGCCGAGGAGGTAGGCCGCGCGTGCGTGCGTGCGTGCGTGCGTGCAAAGCCGCCTCGCCTTCGGGAGTTCGTGTTGGCGTCGCGAGCGAACCACTGCAAAAATCGGTCGGGGTCGCGGACGCGGTGGGGGTTAAAAAAAACCAACGAGCTCTTGCAGTTGTAGTAGTTGTAGCGAGAGCTCCTCGTCCCTGTCTGTCCTGTCGCTTCCGGCCTCCGGGTCCGGGAGGATCACGCTAAAAACACGCACGAAACGGTGAAACCAACCGTGAAACTGCGGTGCTGTGCCGCCGGGTTGGTTGGTGGGTTTCGGGCGCACTCGGTGCAAGCGCAAACGCGGCGTGGCGTGGCGGGCACCGGGGTTGGGGTTGGGGATTGGTTTTTTTGGGTGGGATTTTGGAGTGCCTTTTGACGCTGTGGTGTGGTGGTGGAAGTTTTCGGCTCTGGTCGGTCGGTGCGCCGGCGAGCAGGGTTGACGCTGTTTTCGCGACCTTTTTCTCCCTATTTTATCCTCTCGCCGTTGCTTTAGGTGTGCGAATCACATGGCCATATATATGACCAAGCTGATCGGGTTTTCAGGCCTTTTTTTTTCCTTTTTTCTCTCATCGTGCATCGCCCTTGGGTACGAAGCTTCGTGCGCCGTGCGATGTAACATGATAAGATATCGCAATTATCGGTGGTTAGATCTGGGGTGTTGGTTCACTTGCCCGGGGTGGCGAGATATATAAGACGATAAGGTTTTGATCCGGGAATTCTAAAATAGTCGTGTATGGCATGTGATGCTAATCATGCTCTTTTGCATGCACTGTGTGTATATCTGTTTCTCCTTTTTTATTTTCTTTCTACGATACCTTTTTGCAATTATTATTCCAATTAAACCGTCTATATGCATCACGTGTGATCTCCCCGCCCTAACATGCTCTGTCAACTTTGCGTTTACAACCCTAACATGTTGTCAGTTTTCGATCAATTACGATGGGAAACCAGAGAGTCGGTTTACTTATATTAGTACTCTCTCCATCCCATAATACAAGAGTTTTTTACTTTTTGCTTGTACTGTTTGACCACTCGTCTTATTAAAAAATTGTGCAAATATAAAAAGAAAAGTTGTGCTTGAAATACTTTGAATAATAAAGTAAGTCACAAATAAAATAAATAATAATTTTAAATTTTTTAATAAGACGAATAGTCAAACAGTGCAAGTAAAAAGTCAAAATCCCTTATATTATGGGACGGAGGGAGTACTATTTTTTTCACAAATCTATTTAACTATGAATCTATTTTTTATTGATATTTATATTAATGGTGACATTTTTCAAATGATACAATATTAATAGTTTGGGATTTGATAGATTTCAGTTATCTAAAACTACACACCACTAATCTAAAATTGCATTGTTATGCAAAAGTGCAATACTCTCTCCATCCAGTTGGAAATTGCTATGCGTCCGACTCATATGTACAACTTACATTCGACTAGTGTATATATAGGTATAAATGCTGCTTGTTTGGGTCCACATGATAAGAAACAAGCTCAGTGATTGGTTGATATGACATAGTCGGACATGAGTCGGATGGCTCGGTCATACGTATAGCAGAGTTCCATCCAGTTTGGTAATCCCCTAAACAAAAGGCACCAAGACTAAAGAAGCTAAAATATTCATCATTCAATTAATCATCATCGGTTAAGTTGCTCCATCGCTTCGTGTCTCGTGGATTGCGCATGTTTTAAATATTGCATGTCATTACACCAATAGAAAGATATTGGTTGGTTGTATGCAATACATTCAATGATGCACATTTACTCTTTGTACAAATAAACAAAGAGATATTTGTTAGGTGATGATTATTTTGGGAAGATAAATATAAGATGGAGGGAGTATTAGTTTATTGTAACTGCAATTTTGTATTAGTATGGTTCTATGTTACTTTTATGTTGAGTTTGAATACTTAATATGCAACTTTTTATGTTCTTTATGAGTTGAAAATTTATTTGATGTTTGGGTTAATGTAGTTTATTGTTTTAACATATTTATCTATGATACAAGGGATTTTCTTTTTGAATATTTATTAATAGTGAGAGTAATCAAAACAATTAGGTTCCCATTTTAGGGTTATGATGATAAGTTGAGAACATTTTTGGTCAGCTGAAATCTAAACACTTCCTAATTGTTTCGGATAATGGTAGAAAAAGTTTTTGGGTTGATTACACACAATTTTTAAATGCATTTATGTGAGATCGGGTGCAGTACAGATGAAAGCTAGCGTTTTATTGTTAGAAAATTTTCCTGCATTATATGGATAATAAAGAATTTAATGCTGTTAAATTATGAGAAACAATCATTGTGTAAATTATTGCCCCCTTTTTGATTGCTGCGTCCAAACTATGACTTTTTCCTAGGTTGCCCTGTCATTGCTAAAATTATGTGTACGAGTTGCTATGCTATTTTAAATAAGGGGAAAATGACATTTTAGCTAGTTGTCTTCACATTTTCTCCCATGCACCCTGTAAGGTGTAGTTTGGCTGCTGAACTAATATCCTTTGAACTAGATTGATCGTTAAGTCTATTTAATTATCTCCTTCAATTATAGCCAAGCCTAAAAGATAATTTTGAAAAAATACATTTCTTTGTGTCTAACAATAATAATAGTCGACTATGCAAGTAGATGAACAGACAATTAATAATTTCAATCTTAAAATGTGTGGAAAGACAATAAATGAGTTAGGCCATAGAGTTATCACAGTACTAAACTTTTTGATTATGTGTAGGAGGGAGAAGAGTCCATTCTTTCTTTATATCAACTCTAAGACGCAAAATCTGATGTACTAGCAATTGCTAACTCAAGTAAATTGGAAGGAATACCGGGAATAGAAAATTCGATATGGAGTAATGGCTAGAGCCAACTAAAGAGTTCAACCGTATTTAATATATTTGTAAATTATATCCCTATTTGTGGATAACTAAGACTTTAATATCCACAAATTGAACTTAACCTTAACTATTTATAGTACTATGGATTATTAGAAGCCATCTTATTTCATACTGAAAATCTCGTCTTTTCGATCGTCTTGTCGGTGTCACGTGGGTCTTGGATGTTCGCTGAAGCAAACACAGCAAAATTATAATTAGCGTGTGATGCGTGCGTGCTTATGTTGATTTACTTGCACACGCGTCTTCGTCCCAACTTTTCTTTGTTAAAGTATGATCGATCGATTACCAGCGAACCCTTTACCGACTCTAGCTATAGAATGAGTCACAATAAACACGGAGAGATGACATCCACGTCGTTCCGTTGGTGTCCATGCATCGATGAAAACGCCAGCTTCGCGCAAGACTAGGGCTGTGTTCTTATGCCATTCCCTCAATAATTAGTATGGTACCCATAGTATTAAATAAGCTGCCATCTAAAATAAAAAATGATGTGACAAGTGAATAAATAAGTAAAGGGAAGGAAACCAGGTCTTCCATAAGACATGGTTTCTACACAATATTTAAGACATCATATGAGATAAATAGCATTAAATTTAAGTATGAAAAAATGTTGTTTACATTTAAAGAGTAGTGTCCAGTACTAGTTTCTTGATGATGTGTAGTTTATGGAAACTATGTCTAGTGTCTTAGATTGGGAATAGCCTTACCCCAAGTTTCCTAACTCATTTCCCTCGTTTTCCGCGCACACACTTTTTGCAAAAAAAGTTTCTATACGAAAGTTGCTTGAAAAATCATATTGATCCAAAAAAAGCTAATACTTAATTAATCATGCGCTAATGAACCGTTCCGTTTTCCGTGCGCATTGTTCTAGTTGGGAACACGCTCTAGCGAACAGAGCCTAAGGGTTATTTAGATCTAGGGGTGTAAAATTTTGACGTGTCACATCGGATATTATATAGGGTGTCCTATGGAGTATTCGGACACTGATAAAAAAAACTAATTGTAGAATCCGTCGGTAAAATACTAGTGAATTTATTAAGCCTAATTAATACATTATTTGCAAATGTTTACTGTAGCACCAAATTGTCAAATCATTGAGCAATTAGACTTAAAAGATTCGTCTTACAAATTAGTCGCAATCTGTGCAATTAGTTATTTTTTTAAGCTTATATTTAATATTTTATGTAGGTGTTCAAACGTTCGATATGACATGGTGTAAAATTTTTGGCAGGGATCTAAACAGGCCCATATTCTGTCAAATATGTTTGGCACTTGCTAGCGGCCTATACATATATGGACAGATCACATCTCCGTACCCAAAGACAGGACAGAGCTAGCGGCCTAGCGCCATTTTTTCTTACTCCGTATCGTTTAGAGTACAGAAATTTCTCGGAAAGCGACGTCCCCAGCTCTCGCGTTAACCGACCGTTGCTCCTTAATAATGTAAGCCAACGTGCGGCGCTGGTGCGCTGGTGGGCCGATCGACCGGTTCGGGGCCAAGCCGCATGCGGCTGATTCGCGGCGCTGGTGCTTGCCGCCTCCCTGCCGTTGATACATCCGCGCGCAGGTGACGCGCGTGACGGCGGCCGGTCCCGTGAATCCGATCGAAATTGGTGAGAGGTATCCCGCGGTTTGGTGTTGTTGCTAGCTACTCCCTCCGTCTTAAAAAAAAAAAGACAAACCTGATTTCCGTGTCCAACGTTTAACTGTCCATCTTATTTAAAAAAATTAAAAAGATAAGTCACGCATAAATTATTAATCATATTTTATTATTTAACAACAATGAAAATACTAATTATAGAAAAATTTCATATAAAACAGACAGTCAAACGTTGACACGAAACCCCAGGGTTTATCTTTTTTTCTTTTGGGACAGAGAGAGTATACGATTGATGAGGACGGCGGCGGCGGCGGCAGCTAGCTAGCTGAGCGAGAGGGGGTCGCCGCATGTACGACGGCGCGCGCGTCTCGTGCAAGTTGGCTGCAGGCGAGCGACGGACGAGAGAGCCCGAGCCCCGGCGCCGCGCGACGTCGCGTCGTCCGTGTCGTGTCGTGCCGTGCGGTGCAGATTGGCAGATTTGCGGGGGTGGGTGGGGGGGGGGGGGGGGGGCGGATCGGTGAATGCATACATGGGCCGGCCGGATCTCCACCGTCGCGTCGTTTTTGTTTTAATTTCGTTTCTGGCAGGATTGGTATATACGGCAACTGTGATACATATGGGTGTGTGTTATTGCTAGTGTGGACGAATTTTGGCCTGATATCTCAGATGCGACGTAACTTGTTTCCTTGCAAACCGGTTACGAATTGAGAGAGTACTTATTTTATACTACTGTTCATACTAGAGTACGTATCAACACTACTGTTCATACTGCATGTCTGTAATTGCGAATCATATAGTTACTCCTACGTAGTATAGCTTATGTAGTCGCTTAGTGCTATTGCAGTTTCAAAATGCATCGATCCTTCTATACAGAAATGAGATACTCTGTTTCTGTGTCATCTGGGCTTAGGAGTCCGTCTACCGGTCGAATTATAATACCTACTCTCTCCGTCTAAAAAATAGACAAACCCTATGTTTCTGTGT